ATATATATAGCTAAAGGTCTCAAAATGGATCATGACCCATGGGTTAATCTAATCCAAATTGACATATTAACCCAAATAAACTGTTTATTTTTGATTCAATGGGTTAATAGATTAATGGATTAACAAGTTAACGTATCTACTGGATTGAATCAACGTTCCCTCACCCATTAATTTTTAATTAAAATCAAATAATTAAAAACAAACCTATTAATTCGAAATTAAAATTGTTCAATTGGACTGGCCAACTGCAAAATCACGTTTTCCCGTCAAAATTGCAAAATCATATTTTCCATCAAAATTGCAAAATCACGTCAAAAACATAAAATTAAGTTTTCCCGCCAAAACTGCAAAATCATGTTTTCCCGTCAAAACTCCAAAACACGTTTCCCTATCAAAACCACAAAACCACGTTTTTCCGTCAAAATCGTAAAATTACGTTTTCCCGCTAAAACCGCAGAATCACGTTTTTCCGCCAAAACCGCAAAATCATATTTTCTGCCAGAACAACTAACATTTTCTCGCCAAAATCGCAAAACCACGTTTTTCCGTCAAAACAACAAAATCACGTTTTTACGCCAAAATCACAAGATACGTTTTCCCGTCAAAATGCAAAATCACTTTTTTTTTGCCAAACCGTAAGACCACGTTTTCGCGTCAAAATTGCAAAATCACGTTTTTCCGCCAAAATCATAAAATCATGTTTTTCCGTTAATTAGTTAAATCATGTTTTCCCACCAAAACCGCTTAATCATTTCTAGCCAAAATTGCAATATTTTTTCTACCAAAATCGCAAAATCATGTTTCCCGCCACCCAAACTCATGTTTAACATTGTTTTATTAATTGGGTTCCGCAGAAAACCCGTTTAAAATGGTTCATTTAGGGTTTGAACAAAGATGTTGGGTTGATGGGTCAACCATTAACACCATCTGGCCCATTAAGACTCAACCCATTTGAATTATAGGTCGAGTTAACCTATTTGATCCATTTTGACAACCCTATATATACATCTATAATTTATATTACCTGAAACTATTAAAAAGCTCACAATAGTTGTGGAAGTGTTCTAAGCAGTATCGGTCCTAAGTTTTGCCGGACCCCATTCAAAAATAACATATATATTTGTTTTTAGTACAAAATTTAATTTATTATAATAATTATATACTTTTCAAAATGAATAATGATTAAAACGACTTTTATTTGTTTTAGTATATGTATTTTACATTTTCTTAATTGATTTATTAATATAAAATTTATTACTTTGATATGTTTAAATATTCTGTCCTAATTAAATCTACAAAAGTATCAATTTTTTATACAATTTTACAAGTTTTTTTGTAATAAAATAAAATCACAAACTATGCCCTATCCTAATGTATTATGAGTTTGGGGTCAAGTCCGGCACTGGTTCTTAGATATGAATATTCAAACCGAATAAAACATAGTTAATTTTAAAAAATGAAATGTAAGAATAGCGTATAAAGTGGGGTTTATAGTGATTAAAACCTCCAACTATTTTTAGATCGGATAAAAAACCTCCAACTAAAATTTTATGTTTTTAAACCTCCAACTATTAAACCGTTAATACCGTTAACCTTTCGTTATCAAAATCGTTTTTTCTTAACGGAGACCCGTTAAATCGAAACACCGCGTTTCATGTAATTTCAAAAACGACATAAGGTTCTTACTATCAAAATATATTTTAGTGATTTAAACCTCCAACTATTTTTAAATCGGATAGAAAACCCCCAACATAAAATTTATATTTTTAAACCCTCAACTATTAAATTTTTAAACCATGTTGCTTTTAACCCTTAGTAAACAAAGTCATATTTTCTGAATGAGAAACCATTAAATTGAAACACAGAGTTTCATGTTCATATAAACGATATAAAATGTTTAAACCCCCTATATCAATGGGCAATGACAATCACAATTCATACGTAAATAAAAAAAATTAAATTTCTTTTTCCTTTTCATCGAAGGTGAGGTAAGTCCAAAAATTCTATTGTTTCTAATTTTAGGCTATGATTGTATGGCACTTCTGACGATATATTTTAAGTGTAGAACATATTTACTTTGACTCCAGCTAATATTTAGCCAATCAGGTGAAAAAAATTTCAATTTGCGTTTTCGATAGTTACTGTTGAAACATAGTAAATTGTTTCATTTTTCTCTCTTGGTTTATGCAGAGAAATATGTGTTGTGCTGGCTTTTGTATTGTTTTCCACTTTTTATTTTCTTTTGTCTTTTACCTATTTATTTTACTCTATTTTATCTTAATGGCCCATCGATCATTGGCCAAACATTCCGAAATTGACGTTCAAAGAGCCATCATCTCGAGAGGCGTATTAGGGACAAAGGTCGCACATCGGTTGTTGGAAGAGATTATAAGGAATATATAAGATATATGGGCTACTTCACTTATTACCAATCGGTTTTAGATTGAAAGCCCATCTACCTTAATATGGTATCAGAGTCCATGATCCACAAAGCCCAACCCGATCCTTATCGATCCAGCCCAAATTCGGCTCATCGGTCTTTGCCCGAACATTCCGAGATTGACGCTAAAGAGCCATTATCTCGAGAGGGCGTATTAGGGACAAAGGTCCCACATCAGAAATTGCAAGAGATTATATCTAGTATATATGATAGATGGGCCACTCCACTTATCACCAATTGATTTTAGGTTGCAAGCACATCTACCTTAACAGTACGCAATCAACCCTAATTATTTCTCTCCTATTCATTTTTTTATTTGAGGATGAATTGTGATTATCATTGCTCATTGATATAGGGAGTTTAAACATTTCATGTTGTTTATATGATTACATGAAACTCTGTTTTTCAATTTAAGGTTTCCCGTTCAGAAAATATGACTTTGTTTACAGAGGGTTAAAAGCATTAAAGGTTTAATAGTTGAGGGTTTAAAAATATAAAAAAATTTGTTAGGGGTTTTCTATCTGATTTAAAAATAGTTGGAGGTTTAAATCACTAAAATATATATTGATAGTAAGAACATTATGTCGTTTTTGAAATTAAATGAAACGCGGTGTTCGATTTAACGGGTCTCCGTTAAGAAAAAACGATTTTGATAACGGAAGGTTAACAGCATTAACGGTTTGATAGTTGGAGGTTTAAAAACATAAAATTTTAGTTGGAGGTTTTTTATCCGATTTAAAAATAGTTGGAGGTTTTAATCACTATAAACCCTATAAAGTGATAGATAAATTTAAAATGTACTTGCAATATTAATATATAATATTAGTCAAAAATAATAATATTAATATCTAATATATAAAGAGATCGTGGAGTGGACCGCACAATCCATGCATGCAGTGAGAGGCCACCAAAAGAAAAAAAAAAACTCTCAGCGACTGTTCGAGTTTACGAGGCTCGCAATTTTTCGAATATTCTATATGCAAAATCTCAATTTGTCCATGACAAGAGATATATAGCCAAGCTCCCATATCATTTAAGCCTTAATCAAGACTTTTATTTCCGGGATAATTATAATTTTACCACAGCTTAATATCAATTTTCAGATTTATATTTATAATTTTCATAAATATTCTAAATGTATGATGAAAAGACTAAGTAACATTATTAAATTATTTATAAATTTTCAATAATCCTTTGTAAATGTTTATTAATCAAACCACACCTTTTAAATATTAAGTACTAAATAATAATCACTAAAATTTAAATCCAAATAGTAAGATATTTTCATTGAATGTATTTTTGAAAAATAGTAACTAACATATAGTATCTGCACATTTTATACATGTATATCTTCTTCATCGTGAAACCCGACATGTTTATGTACTTGTTAGGTTAACTTGTCTACTTCTGGTTGTCTTTTCTGGGTTTGTTGAGTTTCTTCTCTAACCTTCAATTAATGGTCTTCTTTTAAAAAAGAAACATGTTTAGCATTCCAATAGAATGGCCACCTAACTTTGTAGTTGCTAATTAATCGATAGTTACTGCCTAGAGAAGGTTTATGAGAGCAAAACAACACTAAATAAAGTAGGGACTTTACTAGTATGTAAAACAAGTTACTGATTGATATGATCACATGTTGATGATATAGCGTCGATGATGACCTGAACCAGGTTTTGATATGTCAAGAGATGGATGATCTGTATTTGTATGCTTGATCACTGCCTTATTTCAAGAGCTCTTTTACCGAATATCAGACAAATATTATGCGGCTGTTAGTTATATATGTAGCGTCCTTAGTGAATTATCAAAAGAGACTAGTACAGAATGCAGACCTATAGTTCAAAACATTTATGGTAAGTGGTAACATATTGGCCTATGAGATTCTTATATTTGTCTCAATATCTATGTGATTATCTGGGTAACTGCATAAAGGTAATAATGCCTTTAGGAAAATGGGTCACTCTAATTAAGCAGTTTTCAACTGGGTTTAGGCTTATATGGTGGTGTATATGCGATGTGGTATCAGCTCCTAGATCGAGCAGCCCGCTGGTTAGAGGATTCCTGCCATAAACAATGATGAAGGTTATGCAGTAGAGACATGGGCGTGCGTAGCTTTCCTGGGGCCTAAGGCAACATTCAAAAATAAAATTTAATGTAAACAGATATACATAATTAGCAAAAAGTTATATAATTTCATACTTATCAGTTGCCATTTTGCTAACTCAATCTGTCCTCTTTCCAATGGCTTTCAGCTGACAGCATGCCTGTAACAAATAAAAAACACGTCCACTCTGTATCCGACAAATAACTAATACTATAAGTTTCCCAATAACATCAACTTCTGAAAATTACATAAATATTTTGTAGTATATGCATGTCACATCAAATTTAGATGTTTTTTAAACTAACATATAGCTGTTTCTATAAGCCTATCACGTAAATTTATGATTTGGTCTTCGTCGCGATAGTTATTTTAATAGCTCTCGATTTAAATCCAAATTCTACAAACTATGTGGTGAATCTTCGTCTAAATTAGTAAATTCAAATGTGAAGAGCAATGTATCGAATCATGTAGTAAAACTTTGCTATTCAGACTTGCATCGAAAATAACATGCATATAAACATATTTGGGTGGGTACCGCTCAAAACTATCGAGCGTCAATGACCGAGAGTGTTATTTGGTTCACTGTACATTCATTATTTCCCTTTGTACTTGACGACGAATCAATCTCAAGAGGCTTTCTCCCAACGCAAAAACCTGGCCGTTTAGGCTCAGGAATAGCCGTAGTTTCGCTTCCAATCATGACCATCACCGACGACATCACTGGCCTGTCTTCAGCACGTTCTTGAACACACAAGAGACCAATTTGTATGCATCTTAACATTTCATGTGCCTGGCACGTTGACGAAGAAGAATCTATGATGATCGGGTCTACGATCTCTAGCCATTTTCCTTCCTTCCAGTTCCTCCACACCTGAGCATAAAAGATTAAATGTTTTTTTAGTGTTATCATCAGAATAGGAGTGCAAAACTAAAGTTGTTCTTAGCTTACAAAGCCGAGGAGATTAAGGTCACGGTTTGAGTTGTAGAATCCGTTATTTTTCCTGCCACTTATAATCTCGAGGAGCAAAACCCCAAAGCTGAACACATCCGACTTCACCGAGAATATCCCATCCATTGCATATTCTGGAGACATGTAACCACTGCATAACAAAGATTAACGCAAATGTTAAGATGTTTCTCTCGAACTGAGATTAAAGACAAAAAAAAAAAACTCATAATTTATGATTGCTTACTAAGTTCCCACCACCCTCCTCGTATTAGCTTCTGTATCATCTCTTCCAAAGATCCTGGCCATCCCAAAATCCGAGATCTTCGGAGTCATGTTTTTATCAAGCAACACATTACTTGCTTTCAAGTCTCTGTGGATGATCCTAAAACGTGAATCTCGGTGAAGATATAGAAGTCCTCTAGCAATACCATTGGTAATATCAAATCTCATTTGCCAATTTAAGTTAGAGCGTCGGGTTATGTCTACAAATCAACCACAACCAAAAACTGTGTTATCTTATCCCCAAATATGTTAAAAGTTGTTAGGAATAAAAGCTGTTTTTTCAGTCACTAACCAAAAATATGAGAATCAAGGCTTAGATTCTCCAAGTACTCATAGATCAACATCTTCTCCCCTTTATCGACGCAACAACCAAGAAGTCGGACAAGGTTTATGTGCTGAAGCCTTGCAATTAGTCTAACCTCGTTTTTGAATTCATCGGTCCCTTGTAAGGACATTTTGGATAGTCTTTTTACCGCAATTTCTTTTCCATCAAGTAACCTTCCCTGTCACATTTAATTATACAATGAAACTTGTGCAGTTATAGATTTTCAGTAAGTCCTGAAATACTTTTTTTTTTTACCTTGTAATTTTTTTTTTGTCAGCTTTTTTTTTTTTTTACCTTGTAAACAATACCGAAACCACCTTTTCCAAGCTTGTTGGCGTTAGAAAAATTGTTTGTTGCCAAGGCAACAACTTCAAACTCCATTAATGAAAGCTCTAGATCATCAGTTTTGTTTTCTCTGGATATGTAACGCCTGCTTGTTATTGCTAGTTCGTCCATCAGCGAATCTTCGGTTCTCCCTTGATCATCTGTGTCATCCAGACAACAGAATCAACACATATATTGAATTATCAAAATAATTATTATTAACAAAAATAAAGGAAATTAAAGTTACCAATAGGTGTTTGAATTGTTATTGATCGCTTCTGCTTCTTTTTCCAAAAGCCGAAGATGATGAAACATAAAAGAAGCAAAATGGTCACTCCAATACTCAAACCTATGATTTTCCCGTTCTTGTCTTTCTTGTCCACTGTAAACAAAAGACAAAGGAATATATATATATATTCTTCTAAGTAATAATGAAAAAAAAATCCCTACAAGTGTAAACTTTGCTGGTCTTTGATAAAACATTATATGAGAAACAAACACAATAATTGTTTGCTCTTCCCTGTCCATAAGCGCTGCACATAGGTAGGAAACTGTTTATGTGGGAAGTCATAATACTGGGCCAAACCATAGGCTCTGATACCATATTAGTGATGGGCCTAACTCACACCCAAAAGCTAGCTCAAGAATGGAGGATTGCCCATACACTTATATATTGCCTAAGGACCACAATTGCGTCTGATGTGGGACAATCTAATACAATCTTTTGGTCCCTTTCGTGAACTCCATATACGACTAGTTTGACTCATAAACTTTAAATCAACAAGAAAACATTAAAAAAAAAAAAATGCAAAGGACTAACCGAGATCAGCAGCGGCTAATCTGACGTAGAGATCCTGACCTCCATGAGGAAAGTTGCGGATATCAAAAATATCTCCCTTCCAAATCACACAACCTGATCCTCCATAACGAATATCCATATTCGCAAAAGCCGTACAGTTACAATCCTTTAAACACCTCTCCTCACAGTCTTTCAACCCAATTCCTCTGTCCACAATTGTCACAGTAGTATCCGGCAGTTTCATCTTCCTCAACCGCACAAACCCATCTTTACCACTCTCACAGCTCAGACTTGTCTTCCTCACGCAACCACCTGAGTCATGCGCTTGGTTATTCCTCGTCTCAAAGCCTTGGATACAGTTACAAACCGGTGAAGTGTTCAAATCGCAATAACCGTAATTTCCACACTCTTTGTAGTCATCACATAGGTCCCTTGGTAAATACCATAACTGTCTCGTAGGGATCTTCTTGTACCAAATCCCGAGATACCAACGAGAACTTGTGGGGAGATTGAAGAAACCAAGCTCGAAGATTTCACTAGAAGATGTGATGGTTTTGTTGGTTGCTATAGTGAGAGTTTCTTTGGCTGACAAAGTGTTGGTAGAGATTGATAAAGCAGGTAACATAATAAGCAAGACGAAGGTGTACAAATGATCGTTGTTTGACACACTTCTCATCATCTTCATTTCTTCTTAGAATTTTTTTTTTTTTTTTTGGGGATTCAAATATGTGTTGTGCTTATATGTTGAGCGATTTTCTCTTTGAATTATTGCCAATAATTTATCCTTTCGCCTTCATTTATTCTTGGTCTTCTTGTTGGCATTAGAGATATCACTATAGAATTGACCTAGCTAGTAAATGATTAAGACGTTTCTGTTTTTTTTGTCCGGTTTTTCTTCAACTCGTTTACTCTCAAAACAAAACATCGTCAACCCTTTGCGTGTGTGTAGCGTTTCATATACGAGATTTCTATATAAATAGGAAAGGGTCAATTTGGTTACTAATAGCAACCAATTTTTTTTTTTTTTTGCAATTAATAATGATAAGAAGGATGTAATATTTGTACATAAACTACAATATCATACTAGTGAGTAAAAACACGGTGGTGGTCGACATTCAAATTCAGATGGCGGTACTCACAGCTGTAAACCTTTTACCACTTGAGCTAGAAGCCCAGTTATGATAGTTCGTTTCGATTGGAAATATTTTGTGATTAGCGCAGAAATCTCAACACAAATTATAACTATATGACAAAAGACTCGAATAAAAACTAAGGTTAGAGTCGCTTGCACATGTGCGTTGGAGACAAGTCCGAAGGTCATTTTTGATGTGTATGCTTCGTAAGTTTGATGGTCACTCTCGGTCAGTGTATCATGTACACTTTCGGTTAGACGCACTCATGGATCAAAATGCCAAAAACAATCTTGATTTTTTTTTCTTTCTTAATAAGTGACCAATTTACCAATTAAAACTAAAAGTGGTCAGTGTTCGAAAAAAATAAAACTAAAAGACTAAAAATGGTCCTAACTCCTAGTTTTATCTTACTTGTCAGTTTTCATTTTGCTAACTTACTCTAAAAAAAGTATGGTGAAAATAGGGTCTGCACTTTTGATGCTAACACGGCTCTGAGTAAGTATGGCTTGCCTTCTTCGCACTTTGAACTCTGTTACGGGTATGTTTAATGCATCAAGCTTTAGAAAGAAAACATCTTCAAAGTTTCCAATAAAAAAGCTTCATTGGATTCGTAAACTTACAAACTAGTGAAATCTGAAAAAAGAATCATACGAAACAAAAATATCGCTTAACATAAAAACACATTCTAATGCAGAAAGAAGAAATAAGCGAATAACATCAATCAAACAATGTGTATGATGGGTACTCTCGAGTCAGTCCATTGACTTCTCTTTTGTTCTTGGTTATAGAGGAAGATGGTAGAGGGCTTCTTCGCCTACAATAGACACTATATTCTGGTGGTGGGACTAAGTTGAACTTAAAACACAGCAACCTTACACATTGCATAGAAACCAGATTCTTGAGTTACCAACCAGCTGTGATCTTTTCAGTTGTGGAGGCAGGCTGCTGAGATGATTCTGTGTCTAGTGATCAGAGGAAATAGTCTGGTGTTCTTCTAGTAACGTCTGGTTCTCCTCTTCTCGGTGCTGGTTCAAACTGCACACAGTTTTTTTATTTGGTTAGTTTTTTCCTTCTACGCTAATTTCGTTAGCAGACAAGACATATGGGTTTTGAGGCAAGACCTGAATGAAGGTGTGGTTCCTGCAGTCATCAACCTCAAGAATCGAAGCCATGTTCCCACAACGGTAACAGTAGTTTGGTGCACTGAAGATAGTTACCACCTTTTGCTCCTGTCAGACGGAAATAAAGTATAAAGTCTAACAGTGAGCAAAGAATCTCAAGCCTCGCAAAGCTATGAAATGAATACACAAGGTTGAGAATAATTATTACATGAGCCCAGTTGTATCCATCCATAACCAGCTGATGGGCTCGGGCGATTAGCTTTAAGCTGTTTGAGTGGTTGAACTGTTCGGATATGTCCTATGGTAACAAAATGAAAAGAGATGAAAGTCAAATAGGCTCTTGGTTTAAAAGGAAAGACAGAAAGAAATTGGGGACCGTTCTAAGATTAGTAATTACCTGACCAAATGTATATCCAGCACCACGTGGGGAGATGCCCCAACCACAACGGTCATCAGGATCAGACCATAATAAGTCACACATCGGCCCTTCATGGGGCACTTCTTGAACTCGATCAAAGTTCCTTATGTTGTCAAGTGTCTCGATAGATGGAGACAATCCACCATGAAGGCAAAATATTTCTGACTCAACCTACAATGGAATAACAAAATTTGATAATATCTAAATAATGTATAGGAAACACCATTTTAGTAAGATATGTCATACGTGTAATCTTCCATATATATATATATATATATATATATATATAAGATCTTCCATTCTTAGGATTTTTAGAATACTAACATCTTGCAATGATGTGACACTAGCAAAAGAAATATGACGGAAAAATAGAAAAGCAATCTTCAGTTGAAAAGAATATTGCTAGTACAAGACAAAGGACTGAGCATCTAATATTAAAAGAATCTAGGACGTAAAAATCATGCGAACACCAAGGTCATAAAAGAGGAAGAAACGTGTGAAACATGATAGGGGCACTAACCAAGGCTGTTAGCGGGAAATAGTCGAAGAGGTCTGTAAAGATTTTCCAAACATTTGCGTTGCCATACCTGCAAGAAAAGCAACCTTTGTCAACCCAAATGAATCAAATGCATATCTAGGTACAGGTTAAAAACTTCAGACTCGAATGTGTAAGATAATAAATATGAGAACAATGTAATAAGAACGTAATCATAAGCTTGGAGGATTGACAGAAACAGTAAACGCAGGGAGGAAAAGAAAATATAAGAGAATTTTGACATTACTACCACACCAACACACATGTAGCAACCACAAAAGTAAGGACAGGAGTAATGCTAACGCTGATACAAACTACTTGCATAATGCAATTAACGGCAGCTATAACTATAAAACAAGGATTCTTTGCAGAAGACTCACTTTCGCAGACATTCATCATAAAATCCATAAACTTGAGTGATCTGCCAGACAGAAGAAAAAAGAAGGAAAGCAAGTGTCAGATAAGATAGTAAGGATGGCAGATAAGTACTAATCAGCAAACTGTATGCTGTAGAGAAGAACAAAATTTTACGAGAAAATTTTGTGCCGACCAGGATCTCAACGACGGAAAAAGGTCTGGAGAGACAATGTTGTACAGTATTTAACCTCAGAAGGTAGATTTTCAGGTAGAAATAGAGTAATAAGATCATAACGCATTACTCTACCTGACGACTTTCATGGTTTCCTCTCAGGATGGTGATTCGCTGAGGATATCGCAACTTTAAGGCGACTAACAGCTGGAGAGAGAATAAAAAGGAGAATCAGTATCAGCATACTTTATATTCCGATCCAACGATACTAGTCTTTAATGGAAAAAAAGAAGTAGCGCATATATCATCCTCGTACCGTAACAGTTTCAACAGAATAATAACCACGGTCAACATAATCTCCCATAAACAGGTAGTTGGTATCAGGGCACTGCAAAAAAGAGGAAAAATGAATATTCGCAAAACGTATAGAGCTAATACAAAAATTGGTACCAGAGCCAAATGCATGAAAAGGGTAAGTAATAGACGTTACCATTCCCCCAATACGGAAAAGCTCTGCAAGATCATGGAACTGTCCATGAATATCACCGCAAATTGTCACAGGGCTTTTCACAGGCTGCATGCAGCAAAGAGTTAGAGAATGAATTCATGTCTAATACCCAATCTACCACATTGAAAATATAATCGCCAAGAGCGGAGACAGATGCAATCAACCAAACACAGCCAAAGAGAAAGAGCCAAGAAACAAACCTGAACGTTGCTTTCATCCATTAAGATCTCCTTAGCTTTCTCGCATAATGCTTTAACCTAAAGAAAAACAAAACAACGTTGCAAATGATATCAATGATTTGAATACGTATACTTACAGAAATCTACTTGGCACACACAGCAAACAGAAAAATTTATCACACAAAAAAACTCAGTTTTTTTTTCGCTGATATGATGCTTCTAAATAATCAAAATCTTATCATCAAAATCAAATCACCAGCTCTATAGCAAGAAATGTTAACGCAGTCAGAGTAACCCGCACATAAAAAAATAACAAACTTAACCCCAAAATCACATCAAAACCATAGAAGCAAAACCAGTTCTTCAACACATACGTCAAGATCTAACCTTTTTCCAAAAGGGTCTCGAAAAATCTCCAAATTAAATCCAATTAAAAGCTCTATCATCGATACAAACAAACGTAGAACAAAATGTCAAAGGGGCAAAGGAAAGAGTTATCATCTTAAGGAGAAAAGAGCAAACACCTGTTGCTCAGAGAGGGGCTTGCACTGCATGAGCTGCGAGATCTGCTCATCGAGATCAATGGTTGCGTCCGTTGGTATCGAATTCGCGCCCATTCTCGTCTTCCGATCCGGGAAACAGATCAGGAACCAGGATTAGGTTTCCAAAATTAGGGGAATCGCTAACCCTAAATTGGATTGAATCTGCGTATTCTTCGCTTTTTTTTTCTCCCTTTCTCTCGCTTTGTGTGCGCAGTGAAGAAAGAGAAGAAATGGCGCGTGAAGAAGAGAAGCGAGTGGTGGTTTGTAGCTTTCGAGCTGTCTTCTTTGATATTACCATAATACCCCGGCTTTACTAAAATCAGTACCGGTACGGGAAAGGAGAGGTAACTCATATAACCGGTTTATGTCTTCCGAATCGTCCGGTTTAATAAACCCGGTTCGAGCTTTATTTAAAAGGCTTTTCGCTTCGCCTATACTAGGGGTGGGCACTTTACCCAAACTCGTACCCGAACCCGACCCGAAATATCCAAACCGAAATCCGAACCGAAGTAGCAAAATATCCAAACGGGTATTGAGTTAGGAGAGTTTGGATATCCGAACCCGAACGGGTAATACCCGAACCCGAACGGGTATCCGAAGATAACCGAACATATATATATATACCTATTTATTCCTAGTTTATTTGTCTCATTTTATTAAAAATATATATATTAATGTTATATATAGTTTAAGATCAGATAATATACATATAATTGTAAAAGAAATTGATTTGTTACTCATTTAAAATGCATATTAAGCTTCTTATTTCATATTTTAACAAAATTTGCATCCAAAATTCGAAAATAGCAACCAAAATAATGATTTTTATTTTCAATAATTTATTTTCAAACTTATTAATCGTATTAAACATTTAAAAAAAGTTAAGTTGGTAGTTAAATTTTTAAATACATGAAACTTAAGTAATGAAGAATTTGAATTTTTTTTCAAAATCTAAATATCCGAACCCGACCCAAAATAACCGAACCCGAACTAAAAATATCCGAACCCGACCCGATATGTAAAATTACCCAAACGGATCCTAAACCCCAATACCGAAATACCCAAAAACCCGAAATGCCCGACCCGAACCCGAACGGGTACCCGAACGCCCACCCCTAGCCTATACCATCTTCATTAAGCTCACCCCTCTCTCTAGGGCTGGGCAAATAGACCGAATTCGAAAACCCAAACCAAATCCGATCCGATAAAAATGAATTCGAACCGATCCGAACCTGATTTAAATACCAAATGGATCTTGTTTTATGGTATTTCGGGTTATGGGTATTATCCGAACCGAACCCGGAATTAAATGGATATCAGATAGAACCTGAAATATTCATTTTTTTTAATAAAAACGTGTACCAAACATGATCTTAATTCCTAATATATATCCAAAATATTTTAAGATATTACTAAACATCTAAAATATTTATCTATTACATGAAGGTTGATGGTTGAAGGTGGCGGTTGAAACTTAAAATTTTTAGATTAAGGTTTTCTATTATTGAATAATGTTTCTCATTTTTTAAGAACTTGGTTTTCGTTTTATACTTTCATTTATTTGGTTTTCTTTCTACTAATAACTATGATTACCTTTCATTTGATTTTGAATGATCAAGTTAGATGTTCCTTTCTTATTTTTGAATCAATTTTACTTATGTTTTGGTTACAAAATAGTTACACATTAGGTACTTTAAATCCGAAAAATCGATTTTATTTATGTTTTGGTTTTAAAGTAGGTACAAAATCAAGTATTTTTAAACCAAAGACCTGACTGAGACCCGAATCCGAAAGTATAACGGGTTGTACCGGTTCTTTAAAGATTTACTAACCCTGACCCGAACCCCAAAAGAACCCGAACCGAACTTTCAAATAATCCGAATGGGGCTAATTTTGATAAACCCGAAAAATCGAAACCCGACTGGACAAAACCGAAACCCGAATGGGACCCCGAATGCCCATGCCTACCTCTCTCCGTGATGATGGCGATGAGATCTGAAGAAATCTGCACAAAATCCTTCATTGTTCACCAAATTATCTCTTTTCTCTGACACAATACAAGTTTCATTTTTCTCTTTTCTTAGACATAACATAAACCGTGTTAATACTTTAAGTCATTCTTTCTGTATATAGATTCTTTGGTTCAGATTGTAAATATGGCATATAGAGAGGTTCTTTAGTTTAATATTTGGCTAACATTTTGTACATGTTCATACCACCTTCAAGACTGTAAAAGCGGATATGTTTGGTCGAGAAAGAGTGCGGGTTACAGAGCAGTGACTGCAAATGGGTGGTAGCATTATGTGCATCAGTGAACACTCCTTTGAATGCTGATGATACTTGTGCTTGTCCCACGGATCTTCTAAGGAAGTGTGCGAGTCTTTTCTTTTTTCTTTTTTCTTTGTGCGTTGGTTGTAGATGAACAAGTCATCATCATGGAAATTGTGCTCATTATCTTGGTTAAGATGCTTCGACCTTACAATGAAACTTCTTTATCTTAGTTATAGGCTAAACGGTGCTGATTTATTGGGTTTAAGAGAGCTTCAAACTCATAATGAAACCTTTGTCTTAGTTGTAAGTTAAACATTTCATTGAGAAATTTATTAGGTTATGAGATTAGTGATATCTTTGAAACTTCTTTGGTTGTTTGTTTGCATTGTTCATATAGCTGCTGGCGCATTTACTTTTACTCTCTTAGACTGAATCAAGATCCAGACTCAGCATGTTGAACTTATTCATAAATGTAAAGCCCATATGCTATAATAAGTTAATTGAAAAACTTCAGTATATACAATGGCAAATCTAGAAAATATTTTGAATGGGGGCATAAATGAATAATCAGAAGTAATAAAAGTAACGGGGATGTTTGAACCTAGGTTTAGTGAATGCAAAAACAAACTTTTAACCAACTAAGCTACATAATTTACTGCATCCTAATGCATTTTAGTTTTATTTTATATTACTGTGGTGGCAACTGCCCCCTTGCTGTTACACTTAGATCCGCCATTGAGTATGTATGACAATAAATGAGTTTAATTTTCAGGATAAACAGCTATTTTATTTGATGCCATAAGTTTTGATTTTCCATTAAACTGATACTAATTGAAGGTTCTTTTCAATTCATTTCACCATAATTATTTCAAGTGATTTCAATAAGTTTTCTTTCTTGTTTCACCATTATTTTCTTATTTTCTGATATTTTCATATTTTTCTTGACTTCTTTTCATCAAGATATTTTTAGTTTTTAAATTTTGAACAAAACCACTATTGGTAATTAATTGTTTCAAACGCGATATTTATGGTTACTCCTTCACAATGTAGCTTTCATATTTATTGTTTTTATATTTTATTTTTTTGTAGTTTTTTATTGGTGAATGATCTTATACCAATTGTATTCTTAATTCAATTTTGTGTGTCAGTTCTCTTTTCCATTTTTGATATGTATCTCAAATTTCTCTTTTCGAATATGGCTACTATTAATTGTTTTTGAGCTTTGTCATGAGTTTTGATCAGATCCATTTTGAATTTGGATGCATTGACCATTTATCATATGTTTACTATCAAACACCTATATGGTTTTTGTCTTCCTTTATGTTGAGATGATTTAGTTATAGGGGGTGGAGAATGTATATAATTTATTGTAGTTATAAGGAGAAGATAAAAATATGATCTAATGTGATTTTTTTTATTTAGAGAGTTTACATTCTCTAGCTACGAAGATTGTTGATGAAATCAGGTTTAATCACAGTGAAAATCCAGCTTTAAATCCACGCAATCAAAATCCAGCTTCTAATTGGTTAACAACATCTGACATGTGTAGGTTGACTTTGATTAAGAAAACATGACCAAGAAACTAGACAATAAAGAAAATACATCACCTCGAATTTATTTCGGAGGAAAATACTCTGAAGAGTCTACTTGGAGTTGTATATGATGGCACTCCAGTTGTGAATAGTTCAAGGAGCATAATATCCAGTGAGGCCTTGAAATATCCCAATAATCATCTTTCTTCACCATGGTTATTCCTGCAGTGTGCAATTAATTCTCCATTCTCTATCGTTATAAACAGCACTGACACTTGATGCCATCCAGTGATCCAGAGAAAACATAGTTTTCTTGACTTGTTTTCATTAAGATATTTTTAAGTTTTAAATTTTGAAAAAAACACTATTGGTAGTTAATTGTTTCAAATGCGATACTGCTTCACAATGTAGCTTTCATATTTATTATTTTTATATTTTAGTAGTTTTTTATTAGTGTTTGATCTTATACCAATTGTATTCTTAATTAAGTTTTGTGTGTCAATTCTCTTTTCCATTTTTGATATGTATCTCAAAGTTCTCTTTTCAAATATGGCTACTATTAATTGTTTTTGAACTTTGCCATGAGTTTTGATCAGATCCATTTTGAATTTGGATGCATTGACCATTTATCAATTTACTATCAAACACCTATATGGTTTTTGTCTTCCTTTATGTTGATATGATTTTTCATTATGGGGGTGGAGAATGGATATAATTAAATGTAGTTATAAGGGGAAGATAAAAATATGATCTAATGTGATTTTTTTTTTATTTGAAGAGTTGACATTCGTTAGCTACAAAGATTGTTGATGAAATCAGATTTAATCACAGTGGAAATCCAGCTTTAAATCCACACAATCAAAATCCAATTTGGTATTAAATAGCATTTTCTAAATATTTGATTCAGTACACATCCAAACATCTGTTATCAAAATCGTCTCAAATACGTATAAGTATTTGGCTTCATACAATATTTTTTTGTGTGATATATAAGTGAAATAGTTAGGTTAGATGTACAAAAGTTGTTCAAGTCAAGATTATATGGCTTTAGCAACAAACAATGTATAAATTTTGGTACTTTATGTTAGTTTAGAAAGAATAGTAGAAACTATGTTTTAAGATAAAAAAATGTTTTAAATATATCATGAGTTTACATTTCAGGATAAAACATATAATATTTTTTTTAATGTCATAAATATTGATTTTCATGAAAATCATACAAAATGAAAATCCTTTGGAATTAATTTAAAGCATTTATGATTCTTCAATATAGTAGTATGATAATTACTTTTTAATATCTATTGATTAAAAACCTATTTTTATTTTTTTTACTTTACTCTCTTTTTCTTTTCTTTTTTCATCGTTTTGTTTTGTCTTGCATTAATTTACAATAAAAATAAATAAAATTTCCTTAGTTTTCAAATTGCAGTAAGACCACCATTGCTTACTAATTGTTTGAAGCACAATACTTAAGGTTTCTCCTTTTAGATTCTTCTTTTATATTTTACTACTTTGTATTGGTTACTTTTTATATTTTGAGTCAAATAATTATCTCATACCACTTTTTATTTAGAGAATTTACGCTACATATACACAGAAAATCTCGTAATTAACAAAATACCCGGCACACATACGAAAAAAGCAACTATATCATGTACTTGTAGATTATTTGTCAGAGCCTACAACCTAAGACCTTATACTACACACCACAAGATGTACTTTTCTTCTTTTCTAAAAGACACCAAGGGTAAACAAGAATGCAACAATTACTTTTCTTTTTAGTTTATCAGTTGTATTTGAAAACATAACCTATCATTTCTCTATCCTAATAAACTCAGCAGTTTCTTCTTTAATTTTCCTCTTCGTTTAAGAGAACAACCGTAAGCGAGATAGATGAGTTGTGGTTGTCGGAGAAGAACCCAATAATGAAAGGTTTAATACATACCACAATCCCTAAAAAGAGGAATCAAAGGTGAAGAACCAGCTGGTCGGCGAGAGGGCGAAAGATAAAGGAGAAGAATCAAGGCCCTTCAGCTGGAATCGGTAGGGATGATTGAGTCAGTCAGCGAGTTGTAGTCAGTTTATACTGTCTTTCAAGTTGAAGAAGAGAAGATCCATGTCCCACCGTCCCCATCGAAAGTCGTGTGTTACTATGTGAACCAAGCACATGCAAAAGAGTTAGATGAAGAATACAAGGTCAAAAATGATATTCAGTTAAGCCTTCGTTCACCAATTAAATTTCTAATCACGTATCCGTTATCACCATAAGTAGTAGCTGATAGTTTCACATTTGATTATTGGAATTTATCCTTGTAAATTACATGTTAACCATCAAATTAATTGCAAACGCAATCAGTAACGGTTATTTTCCTATATTAGATGTTAAGATTACTACTGAATGATTAGTGTTGTCGAGAAACCAACATATATCTTTAGTGTTATGTCATTTAGTAGATTTTAAGTCACAAAGTAATACCTAAATATGAATGGATAACTTTGGTTGTAGTTCAACTAGTAAAATAACACATAAGTTTACAGTTAACATATAAGATCAAATGTTAACATTTAATATTACTTATTTTCTATGATGAGTACTTGCTATATTTGTTCATCTAGCAAGTGGCTGGTGGAATGTGTAATCAATGTGGTGGAGGGGAAAGGGAAGACTGATTGATGAGAATGAGATGATGAAAAGGCTGGTGGAATGTGCGATTGGTGGTGCAAGCACTGTAGCTCAATCATATATTGACACATACTGTTTGATATTTATAGTGTAAACGAGATAGACAATGTTATAGTTTAACATTATATGATATATTAGTGTTTACTTGTGTCAGTAAAGACAATGATAATAAGTATCTGGTTAACATTTCTAGTGACTTGTAAGTGTTATATTAATCTCTAGAATATGTTTTATCGGTATGCTTTTGTAAGTGAATCACATGTATAGAAGATATAAAAAACAAAGAAAATGCGTCTAGTATATGGACATCCTCGGTGGTAGCCTTGTGAATCAGAAATTAACATCGCCAACAATTTAGAGACTATGACTTTAATATTTGTTTACTGACAACCTTAATTTGTAACTTAGCTGTATCACCTTAGATGCTAACTTGTTTTGTAGTACTATGTTAACTAATGAAAATTTCACTAATACCAAACCTAACATATCAAATTATATACTAACTTACCGCTTAACTGCTAACATGGTAAAGTAAAAAAATTTAATGTGTTTGTTAACCACTAACATACTTTTTATCGACCATTAGATCGTTCTTATAGGGTGTAATATTTTAACATCATTGATAGCTGTTATCGGTGTTTGTACAGTGATAACACGAAATTTAGCATATTTGTTATTAATGACTAAACAACTAGTAGCATATTTTGTTTTTGCTTACATAAAGACTCGTTTTCAGAACTTAATCTTCGTTCTCTCTCTACCAAATCAAGTCAACATTTATGTTTCCCATAACTCACTTAAATACACAATCGAAAATTCAAAAAATATTGGGGATAACTTTTACATCTTCCCCAATGGATATTACAAGAAGATATTTTCTCAATATTTTGAAGATTTCGAAGTGTACCTTAAACAACTGTCAAGAAGAATGAGTGGCTAGTTTAGAAGATAGCTTGAAACCTAAATCTGATTAGAAACATAGGTGTGTACTTCAAAAGATCACGTAAAATCTAATTCTTCTCACCTTCTCGATTGCTGTGTGTGTTGATCTGGTGACTGGTGTCTTGTTGTTTGTGCAGCTCCAGAAACTTGAGAAGGGAGTGGATATTCTTGTGGCATCTCCTGTAGATTAGATGATTTGCTGGATTCTGGAGAGGGGTAGAGTCTCTATGCAGATGATTAGATTTTTAGCTCTTGATGAGGCCGATAGGATGCTTGATATAGGTTTTTAACCACGTGGTCTCGACATTCCCCACGTGGCTCATGTTGTGAACTTCGATCTACCAAATGACATTGATGACTATGTCCACCGTATTGGACGAACATGACGTGCTGGCAAATCAGGACTTGCAACTGCCTTCTTCAACGTGGCAACACCTCCATGGAAAGACCGTTCACTGAGATGATGCAAGAAGCTAACCAGGAAGTTCCCTGAGTGGCTCACACGATATGCATTGCGTTCCTCTTTTGGTGGTGGTAAGAACCGGCGCGGTCGTGGTAGGTTTGGTGGCCGTTACTTTAGAAAAGAAGGATCATACAGTAGAGGAGGAGGAGGCTATGGTGCTACTAGTGGTAAATATTGAAGAGAAACTCCAAGTGCTTGGGACTAGGCTCCTAGTGTAGTGTTTTGGTTATAACTCTTTTCACTATTTGTTTCTTCTACCTTCCCATAGAGAGGGAGAGTATGTATTGGCCCCTTACACCTATATGAGATTTCATTTAAGAGATAGGATTCATAACTAATGCTGCTACTTTAGGTGATTTGATCTTTTAGGCTATTTTTAAAGGATGTCCTAAAAGTAACAGTCACCAAGTTTCACAGTGTTTGTGTGTCCAGGTTTTGATCATGTTCTTGGTTTCTTATAGAGTTTATTTTGCAAGTTACATTTAGTTTTGAAATCCATATATAAAAAATTATCTTTTATTCAGTTTCTCCTTGATATGCTTTGAAGACATCATCAAGATGTAGCCTAAGGTATGATAGTAATTTGAATTATGATGATCATGAGTGGTTAAGTAACATTCTTTATTTCAAATATTGAAATAAAAGTAAAAAACAAACTGATATTATTGTATAATATCAAACATGAGACAAGAAGGATTGATACATATATCTCTACTAGTTAAGTAGTTGAATCATCATGCCTTTGTGGCGTCCTTAGCCTCTCCTGCTTTACCCTCTACAAACTCAGCTGCTTCGCTTCCTTTTTCCTTCACATAATCCAAAGCTTTCTGAGCTCCATCCACTGCTGTGTCTTTGGCTTCAACGTTCTTCTCAACAACGTAGTCTTTTGCTTTCTCTCCTTCTTTCAACGCCTCCTTTGTCTTGTCTGTCACGAAATCTGAAGCTTTCTTTCTGTTCACGTATATATACATATATTCAGATTCATTATTAACCAAACATATATCTACAATGTGGAATTATCTTTCTGAATTCTCAAATATATATATTAAAAAGGAATTCTCAAAATATTTGAGGCTAATATGTAAAGTATGAAAAGGAAGATCAGTTTATATACTATTGTTTGTGAATCTCTATAGCTTGAATGATATTAAAACATGTTAAAATATATATAAGATTTTCACTAAACACAAAAAAAAATCCAGTGATAGAATTACAAGATTAGTACTCGCAAATGTATTCTGATTCATCATTTACCAATGATTTTAAACATATATCTACAATGGCCAATATGGAATTCTCATACCGAACTCTAGAATATTAGAGGTTATATGCCAAAAAAACAAGTATCATTTTATATATCATGGTTATGAATCTCTGTATCTTGAATGATATTAAAATATATTAAATATAAAATTACCTCTAGGTCGACATAAATTCCGATGATAAAATTGAAACACTAACTTTGAATTTCCTTTTCTTTTAATGAATTGTAGGCATTTACGTCTAAATGGAGCTACACAAAAGTATGTTATTTTCTCTAATATATATTCGCAAATTGATTGATATTGATTTTCAAAATGACCTTCTTCATAACCGGCTAAAGTGGGTTATTTATCAAAGCACTATCATGGATGGTTAGTAATCCCTTATATATGAGAGTGAATATATAGATTCACGAGACAAAATGTTAAAAGAAAAAACATAGACTTACGTGGCCTCGTTGACGTCATCGACAATGTTGCCGGCACCTTTGTCGGCGTAGATCAACGACTTCTTGCGCTGAGCAACGACGACGAGCTCAGTTTTCCGGCCAAATCTGACGGCGCCAACGCCGCTCTGCTTGGCTACTCCGCTGGGAAAAGAAGAACTAATCCCACTGAGAACAACTCCTGAGAATGACATCGCCATGATGAGAGCAAAAGAAATTAAAGGAGGAGTTTTAAACAAGAGTGAGATGAGTATACTATATTCTCCAATAGTATCATCGTTTTATAGATAGTAGACCAACCACAATCCAAATCACGTGGCATCGTAAGATATTTTTAAGGTATTGCTATTACTATTGGAAAAAAAAAAAAGAAAACAGGTCGGCCATCAAAAGTTGTGGTGATATACATGTTAGCATTTTTGGCAACATTTTTGGCAACACAAGTTTTAGATGTTAGCATTTCTGTTTTTTTTTTTTTTTTGAAGAAATAAGCAGTAAGAAATGATAAGAGTTGTGGGTCGTTCATTTATTGTGAAAGAAACAAAATATACGTCGGCCAACCTGTTAGTTTAGATTTACAAACCTAATGACATAATTAGTTAGACCAACATTAATGGTTGGTTTACTAAAAAGAAGTTCTCCAAAACAAAATACTAATAATTAAATTAAATGATTTTATTTTAATTTAAATAAAATAATAAATGGAACAAAATACATTAAGAGAATAACATGTGAAGATAAAATGTAAGAGGTTCTCAAAAGTCATATGCAAAGAATCGAGTCTTCTTTTTCTTTTGTTTTTTCCTTTTTTAAAAAATTTCATAAATTCTCCCTAAAATTCAAACGTTGGAGCTGCTCTTACGATATCAAATCAGGTTTCTCAAATTACAAATAACATTAATAATATTTTTTCTTGTCAACTAAATAATGATAAAAGAGGAGAGGGAGAGAGAGGGGCAAAGTTTAAAAGTTCGTTTACTAAAACTTAGAATGATAACATCAGATTAAGTGGTGCGAGACCAGCTAACTAGATAATGCAGTGTGGTTTAACTATGGTTTGTCTAAAATAAGCAGTTCAAAAAGATATAAATGGTGACATATAATGAATAGTATAACTACAGAATATTTATATTTTATAAATTAAAAATCGAATAATATTAATATAGTTTTAAATATAAATTTATTATTAAAATAATTTAAAATATCTAAAATATGAAAATATGCTATTACTGAATTTTATAGACAATTATATTCATTTTAGTATAACATTATTAAACTGATGAAATTGCACAGTGCAAAAACGAATATATTTATTTATTTTTTTAAAAATAAGTGAACAATCAAAACAAATCACACCTTGTCACGAAAGCAAACCATACATTCATCTTGTACATTTGATTTTTGGTTCTACTTCGGTTTTTTTGGTTCTTGAGATTTATGCTCTGTTTGGATATTTAAAATTTTCTTTTGGGTTTCACTTCAGATTTTTTTTTTTGTTTCTGTTCGGTTCGGGTAAGAAAGTTAGGAACCACTTATTATCCAAAGTAGTCATGGATCTCATTCAATTCTGGTTAATTCATGTTAAAAAGTAAGAAATTTGATTTTTTTTTTTAATTAAATATCAGATTTTTGAATTTTTTGGTAATAGATTAGATAATTATGACCATTTAAAATATTTTTGGATAAAAGTATGAAAATAACAGACAAATATTATGCATTACCATTTGATAATAGTAAAAATATCTTAATGTGTATATATTTGTTTAAGAGAATAGATCATTAGATAAATCTTACTTTATATAATTTGTTCAGATTTTATTTGTTTTTTTTCCTAAATATATCAAAAGGCTATCCACATGAAACCACACTATCATGCATGTATTTTGAATGCAATGTGCGTTCCAACTTAACAGAACTGAAAAGTAAAATTTGGATTATTTATTATTTTATTTTTCTCTTAATCCAAGAACATAAAAAGTGTGAATGGTTGACATACTATTGCCATTTGCCAACTACTGTGTCCCGCTACGGAACGCCATCAACATTCATACCCTAAGTTATGTTGTGTTGTTATATATGCATTGAAGGAAAGAGAAGTGGCACTGAAGTCCTTCAAGAGCGGAAGAAGACCGATTCTGGTTGCAACAGACGTAGCAGCACGTGGTCTCGACATTCCCCACGTGGCACATGTTGTGAACTTCGATCTACCAATTGACATTGATGACTATGTCCACGGTATATAATCGGTATTGGACGAACAGAACGTGCTGGCAAATCAGGACTAATAACTGCCTTCTTCAACGATGGAAAAACCTCCCAAGAAGACTCGCTGAGCTGATGCAAGAAGCTAACCAGGAAGTCCTTGAGTGGCTCACACGATATGCATCGCGTTCCTCTTTTGGTGGTGGTAAGAATCGGCGGGTAGGTGGGGGTAGTGGTAGCAACTACTATGGCGGTGGAGGAGGCTATAGTGGTGGATTAGTGAATATGGTGCTCCTAGAGAAACTCCAAGTGCTTGGGACTAGTTAGCTCCCAGTGTTTGTGTGTCCAAGTTTTGATTATGTTCTTGATTATTATAAGAGTTATAGCGCAACTTCACTTAGTTTTGAAATCCATAAAAGTTCTCTTTCTTTAGTTTCCTCATTGATATGCTTTGAAGACATCATCAAAATATAATCTAACTTACGGTATGGTAATGATTTAACGTATGATGATGAGTGGAATAGAAGTAAAAACAGACTGATCTTATTGTAAAATATTAAACATGAGGATTGATACATATATCTACTAGTTAAGTGGTTGAACTTGAATCATCATGCCTTTGTGTCCTTAGCCTCTCCTCCTTCGTTTCCTTTTTCCTTCACATAATCCAAAACTTTCTGAGCTTCATCTAGTGCACTGTCTTTGGCTTCAGCGTTCTTCTCATCAACGTAGTCTTTTGCTTTCTCTCCATCTTTCAACGCCTCCTTTGTCTTATCTGTCACGTAATCCGAAGCTCTCTTTCTGTTCATGTATATATCCAGTTTCATTATTAACCAACAATTTGAGGCTAATATGTAAAGTATGAAAAGGAAATGTGAACCTCTATAGCTTGAATGATATTAAACCATTAGATTTTCTCTAAACACACAAATTTCCAATAATTAAAATACAAGATTAAGTCTCTAAATATATTCAAATTCATTACTGACCAACGATTTTAGACATATATCAACAATGACCAACATGGAAGTATCTTGCTAAATTCTCAAATATATGTCAAGTATGAAAAGGAAGATCATTTATATTATGGCTGGTGAACCACTATTGCTTTAATGATATTAGAACATAAGATTTTCTCTAAACACAAATTTCCAATGATAAAACCACAAAATTAATGACCAAAAAGAAAGAAACCACAAGATTAATTCTCTAATCATATTCAGATTCATTATTGACCACCGATTTTAAACATAAATCAACAAATACCTGAGGCTAATACGTAAAGTGTGAAAAGGAAGATCAGTTTATATATTATGGTTTGTGAACCTTATAGCTTGAATGATATTAAAAGATATCAAAATATAAGATTTCTTCTAAACACAAAATTCTCCGTGATAGAATTACGAGTAAGTCTCTAGAACATAATTTTACGATGATAAAAATTGTAACTTTAATTTTGAATTGCCTTTTCTTTTAATGAAATCTAGGCGTTTGCTTTTAAAGTGAGCTACTCAAAAATCTGTTATTTTCTCTAATATATATTCCAAGAAAACATATAAATTAAATAAAGTTCTTTTATAAAAGTAGATCGTTTACGTTTATATGGTTCAAAATTCACATGACCGTCTTCAGAACCGGCTAAAGTGGGTTATATATAATATATGGCGAAACAAGATGTTAAAAAGAAAAAAAAATACAGTAGACTTACGTGGCCTCGTTGATGTCATCAAGAATGTTCCCGTCACTTTTATCGGCGTAGATCAACGACTTCTTGCGCTGAGCGACAACGACGAGCTCAGTTTTCCGGCCAAATCTGACGGCGCCAACGCCGCTCTGCTTGGCTACTCCGCTGGTAAAAGAAGAACTAATCCCACTGAGAACAGCTCCTGAGAATGACATCGCCATGATGAGAGCAAAAGAAATTAAAGGATGAGTTTTAAAAAAGAGTGAGATGAGTATAATCTATTCTCTAATAGTATCATCGTTTTATAGATAGTAGACCAACTCTACAATCCAAATCACGTGGCATCGTAAGATATTTTTAAGGTATTGCTATTACTATTGGGAAAAAAAAAAGAAAAACAGGTCGGCCATCAAAAGTTGTGGTGATATACATGTTAACATTTTTGGCAACACAAGTTGTAGATGTTAGCATTTTTATTTTTTATTTTTTGCAGAATTAAGCAGTAAAGAGTTGTAGGTCGTTCTCGTTACTTCACGTGTACGGTGTACCACCTTTATTGTGATAGAAACAAAATATACGTCGGCCAACATGTTAGTTTAGGTTTTTTTTTTTTTTTGTAGGACATGTTAGTTTAGGTTTGCAAGCTTAAATCTACCAAAAGCCTGAACAAGAACCAGAACCAGAACCAAAACTAAAACTATATGATAACAAGCCTAGATGTAAAGCTAAACGCACACCCATCGTAAAATGTTTCCAAAATGAAGTTCTAAGAAATATAATATATTAATTTTCTATAATATGGTTAGATAGTTAAAATTTAATAATTGAAAAGGAAATTAAATAGGGAAAATTGTTATTTAAATCCCGAACTTTCAAATTTGGTTGAAAAAAAACATGAACTTTCTCTTGGACCATTTAAAGCACCAACTTAGTTTGAATAGCCATTTTAAACCTCAATTTAGTTTGACTAAACCAAATCAAACACGACGTTAACTCGGATAACGGATTGATTAGACGGAGTTAATCACCGTCTCTAATTTCCGTTAAGTTGTCTAAACGACGTCGTTTTAAAAATTTTAAAAATATGCAACTGGAGGGAATCGAACCCGAGACCCAAAGGCAAACTCACTCCAAGACAAAACCACTAGACCACTTGCGCTTTTTGTAACTTAAATGAATACTAATAAATTTATTAGGAACTATCCAATTCATTTTCTCCCACCCTAAATCTCTAAATATCAAAAATTATAAATAACTTAATAATTAAAAAATCGTAAATATTAGTAAAAATATTAAAAATCATAATAATTATTTAGTTATTTATAAGAAGTATTAAAAATATTAAATAACAATTTTTAATCATTAAGTATTATTGAATATTCAAATTTTCATTCTTATACTTAACTAGGGTTTGACCCGCGCACCCGCGCGGGTTTCAGTTCGATTAAGATAATTCAAATTGGTTTTTAGGATAGCAGGTAAAATGGCTAATTGTTCTAATGCCTTGTTCAAACGCATTGAAATATATAACTATAGTTTGTTGTTGGTGACTATGTTCAACATGTCTGGTAGAAAGAAGGAGAGTTTCTTCAATATATTAGACTTTTGTTGTTGGTAGCTTCCATGTGTATAGCCAACGGAGAGGAGAAAAGAGAATTCATCCTTTCTCATTTCTTAAGTTTTCTTCTTATCAAAAGATTTGCAAAGATGAAAAATATGATGTGTTTGTGATTTAATATAATATACATCTTTCACAACCTTTCTCCTTGTTTACGTGGTTTTTATCAGTTCGCAACTAAATGACCAGACGCCCATTTACCCATCTTAGTAAAAGACCACAACAAAGGTCTCCATAGCAAAATGATTTAAGAGAAGCAGCAAGTCATAGACACAATAAGGCTCTGCAGTCAATCTCTTCAAAGAGAAATATGACATCACTTTGCTCATAGGGGTACACGTGAGAGAGAGATGAAGCTTCTCTAGTCTCCATTCACCCATTGCGCCTCTCACCCTTGTTTCATCATTTTCGTTGCTTCTGCTCACGTAAAGATGTTATTTTCTTCCTGAAGCTCATTCTGTAACCTTGCATGAGACTCCATTACTATTTCGATATATATATATATATATATATATATATATATATATATATATATATATGTGTGTGTTATTTCTCCACTGCAAGAGTCTCCTCTTCTTTCTCAACTCAAAGCCCTGTAACGACACGATTCTCAGAACACCACACAAAACTACAAATTTAGTGTGTTAGATCTTTTAACAATCGCAATGGGATCTGATCTATTCATATGATCACACCAAATACCAACTTTTAAGGAATAATCAGAGGTTGTGACAAAAAAAGGAATGATCAGAGGAAGGCCATTCGTGAAACAAATTTGTGGAGAGTGATTATTCGTTGGTTAACGGATTGGAGGCCATCGATTGAGATCCCAATATCGTAGAGTTCATAACAACACATATTTTTGCATCATGAATTTTTCCCATTCAAAAATCAAAATTAGTCTATTATATAAATATGAAAAGTAGAGAGATAGACATACCTTGAATCTTCACTTCGTCGCCTTCGTAGCCATCCAAATCTTCTACCATAAGGGATGAACGAAGAAGAAAACATTACAATAAATAAAAATACGTAAAGC